AGAGAGAGAGAGAGAGAGAGAGAGAGAGAGAGAGAGAGAGAGAGAAAGGGCTAGGCGAGACTGTGCTTCGAGAGAGAAGACAGACCAGGCAACGAGTCATCCTATTGCCTACCGAAAAGTCATATGCCCATACACGCGCGTAAGACGGTAAGTACTATCGTAAACTCACACTTGAATGTTAATTAGATTTACGTATGGAATTTCGTGGACGTTGCTTCTTAATGTCCGTGGCTCCAAGCCTTTAGGAAATTTTTTAACACGTTGACTATCACGTTGGATTGTCATCGATGATACAGCGCGCTACGATATTCGGATGTATTCCATTTACGTGTAACGTGTAATTAATTGCGTCTATTAAACTGGATACACAGGCAGTAGAAAACCGATAAAGCGAGATAAAAAATATGTAGGGATCGCGTTTACTCACTGCGTCTTTAGTAATTCGAACTTTGCTTGAACTATTGAACATTCGATGGAAATAGTGGAGTCAACGTGCTAAGTATGTCAAGTAGATAACTTGTATATTTATATTGGATTACTGGCCCCTTCACGATTCTTCGTTCTTAGGCTCAAATTTTCGAACTTTTAATCTTTGATACTTAAAAAACACTTTGCATTTCCTTCATTAGTTGTCGAGATAACTTGGATTTTAAATTCCTCGAGTCGAGGGGGTTCATTAAGCCAGCAAGTCACGTAGAGAGACAACCGCCGCGCGACTAACGTTTTCTCATTCTCACAAACTATTATGAGTGTTGGATATACAAAAAGAAATTCAATTTGTTAATTGATAATAACATAAATCATCATTACTTAGTCATACTTAAGCGAATAAAAGAATGCTTCTATGAATGCTTAACAATTTAATTGTAAAATTAAATTCTTATAAAATATTTTCATAACAGTAAAATAGTCAGACACATAAACATATATAATGTATCTTTCTCTCAATACAATATAATTCATTCATTACTGTCGAAATATATTTTCTCTCCAATATCAAAATATTAAGTACTCTAATACTTTATAATATTAAAATTTAATAGTACAAATGGAACTTTAGCTAGTATATTATATATAGCATACATGAGATGTTAGCAACGCAAAGGCTATTATAAATTAATTGTTTTGTAACATAGTATAGTTAATATTCATGTAATAAACGAATAAGTCTTTCATACTATTGCATCTTTGAAGAGGAAAATAAAGAATGCCGTGGCTTTTACTGTCATTGATTCGTCTCAATCTTTAATAGCCTCGGTCAGTTGCTAACGTGCTTTATGCAAAACATCCTGTATACGTAACCGAATGTTTACGTCTGTACTCGATTCTACCGTAATAATTGAGGGATAAATTAAGCGCGGGATGGAAATTTTAATAATGCGCTGGGAGCATATCGGGTTGAGGAGCGGCTAACGGTTCGTGTCTGATAGGAAAGAATAGCCACGGTGGCGTGCGACAGACCTAGCGATGTGTGAAATTGGGTAAAAACGTATCGACGACGGCCAATCCGGCGGCATCATTCGCGAAATACGGTGGCTCCCACGCGGGTTACGCGGCTGACACGCATCGCGAGGACGAGGACGAGGACGCGCGGTCGAGGGGGTGCAACGGGAGAGAATGACACGCTCGAGGGCGGAAAAGCGCGGAGGGCGGCGAGGGAGGAATCATTCGCGCGGCTATAAATACGCCACCGGGTAGACGGAGATTGTACCGGATGGCATAATTGAATTAGAGCGCTGACGAGCGCGTAAAACCAGCTGGCATTCGCGGCTCTTCATTCGCCGTCGAAAGTAGCGATGGCGTCGACACACTCGCAGAAAAAGAAAGAGGAAAAGTTGGGGGGCGCGAGAGGGAGACGCAGTGAAAAGTCCGCGGCGATAGTTCGGGCAGGAATGTTAAGGGAATGCGGGAAAAAGGAAACATTACCCAAAATCTTTCTTAAGATTGTATTCCTTTGGCTCGGTGAAACAAATATTTTATTCCTTTAGAATCACGATGACAAGTATTTGCACAGTTCTCTTATTTCCAGGGAATGTGTATTTGCACTGCCACAACAAGCTGAATCTTGATATACTTTCTGCGAATATTTTGAGTCTTTGGAATTAGTCTTTTATTCCGGAATAAACTATTCTTTCTTCCTAAAATAAGAAGTTTATAAATGTAACATAGCAAATTTAACGATTCGAACATTAGATGACTGCTATTTTCATTATCGTTACTGTTATCTCTGAACACTGTACGGCCAAAATGTGCGCCATAAGTGGTACGCGACGAAAGCATGAAATTTACATAAACATGAAGTCTGGGAATACTTCCTTTCTGAGTCGTAGCACGATGTTGAGACTATATATGGTCGCCATGAAAATGCCATCGAACATGTTGAGAGATGCAATGATAACATGGAATAGTTTGATTTTTTTCGCAGACTTTTTAATGTTTGCTATTGCTAGGTAACGTTATTTCTAGGGAGTGTACTGCTATTCTGTATACACAGAAAGACACGTTATTTATTCTTACAATATTGATTTCTCGTCTCGTCTATTTCTTCGTTTGTTGTAAAACGTGTCTTTTAACCGATTATTTTGGCCAAATCATTCTGAGGTTTGGAAAAATTGTTTGAAGATCGTGATTGATTCTGTTTCCATATCGTAGAGTCACTTGGCAGGGAATTGTTTCCACAAATGTTTACACGAGTTCTTCCTCATCTCCTACACACATGTCGTACTTCCCCTATGTTTTGCTGCTTATTTAAACGCAGTGGGAGACGTTGAAACAAGTCGTATAAATATATTAAGAAAAATTCAGGCACTGCCTTCGAGAAATAAATAAAATCTATCCCTATGTGTGAGAATACTGTAGTACACAGAGTGGCATGTATACAGTACTATTTTCAATCTCTTGTGAAAAGCAAAACAGAAGAAAGAAACGGAGAATGAGAAGAGAAAGATAAACTTTAACGTTTTTTAATCCTCAAATTGAAAATTAACAATTCTTCGGGACTCTCTTTGGACATCTAATTTGACTGCCGGATTAGTTGGTATTAAAAAAAAATGGTAGAATTTTCACGAACAAGGGTTAAAGAGCATCGGCGAATAACGGGGAATCTTATTTTTTCACATTGTACTGCTCTAATCGAATCGAGCAACCGAAAGACTCGCATTTTTGCGCTTGATTTTTGCGTTGCGGCTTATTCCCGCGGCGTGATGCACGCGCGTAATGCATTTTCCGATTACCCAGCACATCCAGACAAAATTCCCCAACCTCTCCACCTTGCTCTCCGTTCTCCCCGCCCTCCTGCTCTTTCCATACGCATGGGCACGACGCGGCTCGACGCATTCGCGCGTGCACGTGTATCGGCTAAAACGAACAGGCGACGTCTGTTTCCGCATTTTAATACTTCGCGCGGATCAATTTGGTTAAAATGGCGCCGCGCTCGCTGCGCGACGCTTTTTACATTTTTATTCGCGCTGTTGAAAGCCTATTTACGTTATGTCGCCGAATGTTTTGCCAACGGCTTTTAGGATGGATTAAATTAGTGCAACTGGATTATTTTTGTAAAATAAGTCAAGCTTACGCGGAAACGTTTAGAATTCGACATGCCGTGCGGTTGAAATTACACGTTGTGCAAAGGACGCAGCAAAAGAGTGTATCGATTTAGATTTAGGGAAAGATATTTGGTTGCTTGAATTTACTTTGTCGTAGTTAAAGACTTTCTGAGTTTTTTAAATTTCATATATTATTTATTAAATCTCTTCATCTAATATGTACTTAAAAATCATGGCTTGTGATTTGGATATAAAGTATCTAAAAACTATGTTCGCATATTTATGATACAATGTTTACGACGATACAACAAGATATCCATCCATCAAGTCCATCACATCCAGATACGCTAAGCCGCAGGTAGTGCAAGAAAGTCTGCAGCATTTTTACCTCGACGAATTTCAGGACGCATTCGGTGTACAATGGGAGAGATTATTTTTTTTACCAATTCTCAAAAGATATATCTCACTATTGGATATTGGATGCGTTCTGAAATTTATCGTAGTAAAAATGTTGCAGCCATTCCTCCATTGACTGCATATACCTCTCGACGTACACTGAGATTATTGATTTTTACAAAAAGCTGGGCGAATACCCGTCACTATTATCTTATGCCCTTCGAAAGAATCGAAATCTACAGCAGTAGTCAAAGTTTCGTCGAAGAACGTCGATTCCAAATTAAAGGGGGCGCGATGAAACGGGTTGATAAAAGTTTTATTCGATATCAGTTCGCGGTCGATAACTGCGACATAAAATCCTCACCGCGAGGTCGAAGTTGGAAATCGATTTGGTTACGCATCCTGTGTCCTCGCGTAAAGGGATCATTCGCGGCCGAGGCGAGTTTATCGTGCCGCGGGCATCGCGAGACTGTAACGACTTAAATTTATATCCGCGTGTGAACCGCACCACAGCTCGCGCTCTCGTCCACTCGCTGACTCGCTCAATGCACGCTCAAAGCGTTAATACGATACTTGTTGATTCGCTGCAATGCAGCGGACATCTCGCTCTGTGTATTTCTCTGCTCACATTTGGTAATTGAGTAGTCGAACAGGATTAGGATTCGATGATCGGTTGTATTTAGCCGTCTGAACTTCATCTTCAAGAGGATACCTGAATCCTCATATGTAATTTTAGACGGATATGATTTTCACGCTTGTAAACAGAATACAGAATGAAATTAAAGAAACTAAGAGAACAAAAATGATTGATTTAAAATTATAGTTATAGTTATAACTATAGTTAAAATTATAGTTATAACTAAAATTATAGTTATTCTTGAAATCAACCATATTTTTTCGTTATTCTAATGGTAATATATAGTAGTAATACGCATTTAAAAATGGTTTTCTTGACCATAATTTATAGTAATTATTTCTCTATGTAATTATTAGTTAATTACAAGTGTCAAATAATTTTTCCTCAGTGTAAAAAATAAAAAAAATATTTATTTAATGGATACTATTGACACATATTTACTTATACCAATATAAAATATTTTTCACACAAATAAAAAAATATATACTTTCTTAAAATTTTAGCTTCATATACGAAAATAATTGTGTATTAAATTTAAATAAATATGTTGTTAGTACCCACCGAGTAAATATTTCTTATTTTTCAGTACTATTTTTCTGTAATTTGTCTGCAACACAAAATCCAATAATACTTTAGTAATAAATTATCTCACACTTGAATATCAGCACACTTTATTATTAGCATAATAAAATAAACGAGGAACTTAAAATTTCGTGGGGATAATGTACAATCTCAGTTTTAATTCTTAAATAAATTGTGTAGCAAAGTACATTTTAAAGGAAATATACGTGCGCTGAAATACTAAAATCAAAATGCCTTTCAAATTGTTACTGTTAGTACACGCAAATTTATTTACTATATTATACCATTCATATTATATTACTCTAATTAAGTTTCAAGTACGGAAGTAAGTAAATACGGAAGTATTGTCGTGAGGGTCGCGAAATGTCTTAACTGACTTCGTCTTCGTGACACCGAAGCTGCCTAGTGACACGCGATGCCTTTCCAAAGTTTACGTCGATGGTAACGAGAGAAGATTATTATGACACGCTGTAATTTAATCCAATGTAAGAATACTGGAACTTAAGACTCTAAGAATTCCAATATAGAGAGGAAGTCTCCAAACAATCGAAGATCGTATTCTTGTTTTCTGTTGCTTAAATTTATTAGTTAAACGTGTTAAAGTAAGAATAAAAAAATCTTCAGGACTTGGAAATCCAGATGTTCCGAACGCCGACGAAATTGGCCACCCATATTTCTTTGGGATTCATAGTTGCAAATTTTCGTTCGCGCAAATAAAAGTCCTCAGGCGCAATCCTTGCTCCATAGGAATGATTATCAAATTGTTCCAACTCATATTGTAAATTTATGATCCTGGGAGGTGCCAGATGTTAATTGGAAGCAGGCTGCACCCACACACGCTTGTATCAGCCATAAAGGCATCTCGTGTATTTTCATGTGGGCGACGTGAAGCCAGAACTGGCACAGGACTAATTCCCAGAGACAAACACTTTAATTATAACCTTGCCACGTACCTACGTGTCGTCATATCGTTGCATTCATTAAATGTGGCCGCTGTCGCTCACTCGCATCCTGTTATTCGATTACTTTCACACGGCAGAACTCCATTCAGAAAAATGTGTAGTTTGCGCAAATCATATTTGCCAAAAATATCACCGTGAATACAGGGTGTCCGGTAATAAGTACAAATAAGTTAGGAGCTTTCATCAGGTCTCATAATTAATCTTCATTAAGTAAGTCCTGCTGGCATCATTAAAAAAATTCGCACTTGATACGAAATTTATTATTACTTGTGTATGTTAACTAGTGTATTATTAATAAATTAATTAATTAACTTGGCGTATCATTTTACGTTCAACACATTCGATTAGATTCTGAATTCTGATTTCGTTAGTCTACCGTTTCTACATATTTCCGACTAAATTTTCCAGTTTTACGAACTTTTTCTTCCTCTTGTGTTGGTGAACAACGTCAAATATTCTCCTTAAGCTGGATTCATTAAAATTATCTGAATTAATTAAAAGTGCATGGGACACGGCAATTAGTTTAAAGTCATTATCAGGCGTAAACGCGCGTAATTTTCTTCTAATTATTTGCCCTCCGCTGCGCTCATACGCCATTTTACGCAGGCAATGGTAACGCTATTGTTGCGGCGGGAAACTGGATTGATGGAAATAATGGCGTAGGAGGAAAACAAAGAGAGCTCGGCTACGTCACTGTCGACCGCTATCAATTATTTTCAAATTACGAATTTCACCAGGATATAGTACAATTGATTTATTCACGTCGTCGGGTACCGGTGCCATTTATTCGGGGCACACTATACCGTTCATTTTGCACGCCGCCATTTTTCTCCAGGTTTGCATTGAAAATTGAGCGACGCGCAAGGGAGATAAATTGTATTTTCTAACCACTCTTTTCCTTCGCGAAAATGTATCTAGCGTTGTAAATGGCGTATTTATGTAAAATGCTGTTCATCTGCTTGTAACTTAAAAGCTAAACTTTTCCAGATTCTTCAGAGTTACGTAAATTTATTTTCATACTTTTGAATTATTAATATCTCTCTGACGTTTAACTTTTCGTCAAGTTTTGAATGAATCATCAATAATCAATAATCAATAACCTTAAATTTAATCCCGCGCTAAATGATAAATGTATGATGAGGAAAAAGCAGGTTACATTTAACTGTTGGCATTATGTTGCAGCGTGCGGCTTGCGAAGAAATCGAAATGGTGGAGTTGTGTGGTAGCGGCCAAGCATCCTCAGCTATGGGGGTGATGGGTATCGGCTCGGTGGTGTCTGCGGCGACGTCGTCGTCCTCCTCGTCAACCACCACTACCACGGGGGCTTCGTCCTCTGCGTCGGGCCGCGCCGGCGTCCTCGAGACCCAAGTGCGCGGTCAATGGTATCGCGTGTTTGTCTCGCTGGAAGACGATTATCTCAGCATCTCCCTTGACGAGAGCTGCGAGACCAGCAACATTGCTCTGAATAACGGCAACATCAACAACAACAACGTGGACAGTCTGAACGATCCGGACGTGCCCGACTCCGTGGCTAATCAGAAGCGCATTGTCCGCGTGGTCAAGAGCGACAATAATGGCCTCGGGATTTCGATCAAAGGCGGCAAGGAGAACAAAATGCCGATCCTCATCTCGAAGATTTTCAAAGGCATGGCCGCGGACGCCACCGAGCAACTCTACGTCGGCGATGCCATTCTGGCGGTGAACGGCGAGGACCTGTGCGAAGCCACGCACGACGAGGCGGTGAAGGCGCTGAAGAGGGCTGGCAAGGTCGTCGAGCTGGAAGGTGAGTACTTCCACCCGCTATTACTTATTTTCAATGAACGCGCGAGTGTATCAAAGTACGCGAAAGTGTACAAATCCCGGAACGTCGTTTCAAAAAAAAAAAAAAACGACGATCACACGACAAGGCGTTGCTATCCTTATTGCATAGCAGACATGCAGTTTGTACTACATGGCGGCTATATTACTTGAAAGACACGTATTTCGTATTACATGACGCCGGTGTTACGCGGAAAACATGCAAGATACCAATTTCACTTGTGACGTATTGTTCCTCCGACAACTTCGTGCAGGAGCTTCACGGATCCGCTTCTCGGAAGATGGATGTACTAAGCGACACAAAACATTCCTGACGTATGCAACATTAAATTCCACGTCTTTATCCGCACTCTATTCGCGCCGTTTGTCATCCCTCGCGTACCTGCAGTGTCTTTAGGATGTTCGGAAAGGGTTAGGGAAGCAGAACACAAGGGGAAGGCGCGCACTTGTGCGAGTTCTATCCGGGGCTTTTAACTGGATTGGTGTGCCGGATGTGTGCAGCCAGCTGGAAAAAGCCGACTATTTTCTTTTTTTTATACTTAGTAGATCAGCGCTTTGTGTGTGCCCTTTGTACCGAAAATCAAGAAGTCTAAAGGCCCGCCGGGAGAGTTGTCATTTTAAGAGTACACGCTGCACGATACACCGAGATATTAGATGGGGCTCGTGCGTGTTCTCAGAATTACTCTGAGAAAAATCACGGGATAACGTTACCTAATAAACTTTGATTGTATTTAAAGCAACTTGTCGCAAACATTGCATAAAAGGACCGAATGTTTGGGATTTAATTTTTTCTGCGGATTCTTCAAACGTACAATTATTAAGGAATACTGATTCTTGGATCGAAGAATAGTTCTTTTACTCTTTGGACCACGCGAATCAATGGTCTCGCGCACTCTCGTTGCTTACATTTTACACTAACTCCATAAAAGAATATATAAGAAGCGAATGCAGATTCTATCGTCGTCGTGTTTGCACGCGCATATTGTCTGAGCGCTTTAAATGGCGTTCATCTTGCGCGCGCGCTTTATTTTGTCACTCTTTCGCTGCATACGTCATTACTTTGCTGCCTTTGTCCGCGGCTATCGTTTGTTTCTACCCGGGATAGGGACACGCATTTTCCTGCATTTTGCATTTAACATTCTCCCTCCTTCTCTTTCTCGACGTACACTGCGCCATGACGCCTCGGGCCCTTCGGCATGGATGGTTGCTGGCATATTTCGCCATGTGATTGTATGCACGTCTGCTGCATCGTTATTTTCTCGCGTCTCAAAAGCTAGAAAATGCCACGACGGTTGTTGCCGGGCTATTCCAATCGGTGAGAACCATTGCTCCCTTACTTCTTCATAACCCTCGTCCGCTTAGACGCGTCCGTGCTCGCGCAAGGACGTGACAAAGAAATTTCACCCCGACGAATGGAGATCTCGCCGATGGCGCATACGTCCCGATCGAAAGAACCACTTACCGGGCGTAGCATATAATGAAGCGCTTTCAATCCCGCTGAATCCTGAATCGCTTCTATGAAGAGGCACTTTTCGCTTCGATTTTATGCGGAGTGCTTAATGAGAAATACTTCACCCGTCTAGGGGAACTATTTGTGTTGAAGAAGCTTATTGAGGATTTTGTTAAGAACCTCGCATTATGAGCTGATTAACAAGCAAAGTGTCTAATTCTACTTGTAATGACTCCCGTTACGCTCTATAAATTGTGGAAAAAAATTTCGTCCGATTTCTTTAGCGGTAGCGGCTCGATTCTAACGAGATATTGGAGAACTACAAACTTTGAGTGGAGAATTAAATCGCGAGAAGAGAACATTTTCACATGAACATAGACCTGAGCGTTCAAGTTGATTTCGAATCGATAACAACCTAACTCAGCTTAACTTGACCTGACCTAATCTAAATCTAATCTAAATTAATTGAAAAATAATTCCTAGATGAAGTTTGTAGATATTCAACATGCCGTATAGTTTGGTAACAATGAATAATGGCAATAATACACCAATAATCTCAAATGACGTGGAGCATATTCGTCTGCAAGATTATGGCAGTCGGGCGGGAGGTCAGGTCGTGCGATTACGAGAAATTTTCAGCTAGGCGCGAAAGTCGTGATGACGCCCCCGCGATACGATCTCCGCGAACACGATGCCCAACTTCGCGTGACTTTTCCGCAACAGCTATCTATTCGCCGCTCAGTAATCTCCGTGTCGGATCTAGGATATTCTGTCTGTGAGATATCGCGTGTCCTTGATTATGGATCACCGCGAACGACTCGTTTAAGCGTGCGCACGTGCATGCACGTGTATTGTGTTTACCACCAATGGTAATCGTCGAGGGCGCGAGCGTATTGTGCGCCGCCGTGCTGTACGAGATAAAATAACACATCCATGTCTTATACACGTGAATTACTGTAATGCACATTTTTTTTTTCATAACGCTTATTTGTTCCATCACGTCAGCGAATGGCCTGTGCAATCGGATCACAAACGGAAGCGCAATTTATCGTCAGCAAAGTAACGTTTTTACAATTTTACGTGTAATATTGTATTCCATAGTAAGCACGCCAGCGTTATGTATTTAATATCGAAGGATTCGGTATGGAATAGTTACACAATTCATGTTTTTAATTAAATGTTTGAAAATCGTGAAAAATTCAAAGAGCCGGATATTGTTTTCTACGATGTTCAATTGTTACAAGTGTAGAAACAGGTGTAGCATAATTGGAATTAGGTTCTTAACCTGTGTGTGTATGTGTGAGTGTGTATGTGTGTAAGAAAGACAAAGGAGGGGTAAGAAAGGGGAAGGATGAGCAAGTTGCTTGGCATGTCGAGCGAAAGGAATTCCGGTCTGCAAGATTTAAGACGCAATTTCCTTGACGATGTCGCACGTCATTCGTCATGCAGTCTTCTACAGGGAACAATGCTCGCCGAAAATTACGCATTCCAATTACTAAAACACCTGAGAGAACCACGAAGGTTATGTCGTTCGTCCAACAGCCGCGTTCGAGCCGTTAAACTCTAACTTACATCTCAAGTTCACGTTGAATACTAATAGTTTATGTTAAACAAAATGTAAGAGATATTATTAAGAGATAGTTTTTTCAAGTTGAATGTGCAAAGTATCTGGTAAGATGAGTTGTCTTCTGATATAAAAATTACTCTTTTAAATCGTTTGTATTTCGTATGAAGTGCAATTGAAAAGATTTGTGAGTCGTTATATTAATTGTAATTAATTTTTGGACCATGCATTTAGCCGAAATAATGGCCGAAGATAAATTAAACAAAGTTCCGGTATGGTATCGTTTATATTTCGTATGAAGAGTTATGAAATATCATTAAAAAGGTTTGTGAGTCATCCAGGTATTTTTGAAATAAAAAATCGTGTAATTGGCCGAAATATAAGGTGCTTTCCAGTTGCGTACACTGTATTACACAAAACCAGTTTATTGGAGTTGCATATTATCTTACAAGATATTTTAGATAATATGTGAATATATTTTAGATAATTTATTCCGTTTATTTTATTGTCTTCTTGAGATTCATTCACCATGACTTTTTTTTGTAAAATAAACATGTTATCTTCCGTTTTATGGAAACATTTGAAAAAAAGATATTCCAGATCTTCCACAGTTGTGAAATTTTGGTGTTTCTTCCTAATCTTCCTATCTCTATACATGCTATTCTAGAGCCAAGTTTTAACTTCTATCAAATATAGAGTTCAAATTGAAAAAAGATGATAACATCGCTATTTTGTAATAGTTAGTTGATTTTTGCAGCAAATAATTGTTGGGTTGTCAACATTGATTTGTTGATAGAAAGATCTTTCCTTTTAGATGTCATAAATTATTTAAAATGTGTTTCAACGCCGATATTAAAAGAAATCATATATATATATATATATATATATATATATATATTGTATATTATTATCGTATATATATATCGTATATATATATATATATATATATATATATATATATATATCGTATATTATTTATAACAAACAAGTTTCGATGTTTCACCGAAGTTAAACACTTGCTTGCGTGTATCTCTGTCCATTAAATTATATTTCATAATAATAATCCGACGTCTGGCCGAAAATCCTAACGTGATGTTGATTAGCAAAATTCAGATAATTATTCGTTGCTAGAAACTAATTAGCAACGGATGCAAATTAGAGAGCGCTCGTTTTACAGCGTGTGCTGATAATTAGCTCTCCTCTTCGTCATTAATTGCACGACAAACAAACGGCGATTCGTGCAACAATGAGCCGGAGTCGATTGTAGCTGTCGGAAAAGTGATTATAGAACGATTATGTAATGACAGTGTATACTCGTGATTGTTCGAAACTTTGATGGCATAAAGTTAACAGGGTTACAAATATGTTGACGTCACAAACGACGGACGTTATGTTGTTATGATAATTCGTCCGTCTGCTTCAAAATGGCATCCTGCATTTATTACTGAATTTCACAGTAATGTCTTCGAAGAATTGCATAGTTTTAAATTTAATGCAGCTAAATTCGCATTTATCTACTCCAATTTGTCTAGATTTTACTAAATAAGTTAATCTCGAGCTATACACCAAAATCCATTAACATTGTACGTAGTTTTACACACGTACTCTCTTACACGTTTAAGTCGGATAAACAAAATATTGTAGGAAATGGCTGTTGTCGGGTTGGTTTTCACAATAGGTGAAATATTTCAAAGAGAATCATCGGGGCTTAGGAAGTATCTGAATTTAATAGGAAACAAAGGGATTGCGTGTCTGTCACGTAACATACACAACCCCCTCGTTCGTAGTCTTTGTGGGAATTTTGGACATGCATTTCCTCGCTTGATACATCATCAATCAGTTTAAAGACGAGTAGCCAGGAGCCTTAAGGACAGGTAAATTTCTACCTGATCGGAGAAGAGGTGCGATTTACCTTAACACTTTGCAGATTGTTTGTAACTGAATACTTATT